GTCTTTTAGTGGTTGTTGCGGAATGTTGAAGAGTACATTGCATTTTTTATCCCTCAAAATCCGAAAATGTAGCATGCTTTCGTTGTTTCAGATATTATTTCATTTCATGCTTACTTGATGCTTTCACCCACGGCTCACCAGCGGAGGCGACGATGTGAACTGCTTCTCTCCTTTTCTCCCGCTGAATGGAAAGCTAAACTGAAGAACCTGCACAGATGGTTCTGTTCACCATAAATGAAGGTGAAATCATGCCTTACCAATTCTTTGTATGTTGCTAATACCGATATCCGTCCCATCGCTATTTACATGCACTCATTACCTACATGCTGCTCTCTTGCCAACAATCGTTGCAGAACTGAACTCACGAGATGAGATTGTAGAGGTGCCACTTATTTTGAAGGTCTCATTAGTATGAATTCATTAGTTACACGAGATGAACCTCCTATGACTCAAAGGAACTGTCAATGTATCAAACTGCAGATTCTAATTAGCCAGACCTGGACTCCTACGACTCAAATTCACTGTCAATGTATCAAACTGCAGATCCTAATTAGCCAGACCTGGAATCCACTTGGGTGTGTTTACCCGCTTTAGCTTACCTAGGAAATCTCCTCTTTTTTTGAAAAAAGCTGTTTCACTGACAAATTCCAGCAGTTACCGAGCTACTATTGCTGTTGGCATTTCATATTCCCACTCCACATTGTATTCCTCAGTAGGTGGATTTGATACTAACAGCTACTTATGTTACATGATCTTTACAGGATGCCCTACAGGTAATATGGGAACTGACAGATTTCTTCAATCCCTGTTTCCACCAAAAGTAAGGCTTCATTTTATTTATATCAGGTCACATACTGCCAAAATTGCATCCTTCCTCTGAACTCTGAAGTTTACAGTGCAGGTGACAGAAACTTTTCATTCTTGCCACATTATCTTAATGCCTAACTCAAAATGCATGTCTGCAATTTAAAAAGAAAATGCATTGTAAGTATGAAACTCTGCTCCTCTAATATGAGAAAAAACTTTATTATGACTTCTTAGTTTCTCGGATTGTATACATGCTTAAAGATATTGTGTAAAAGTTGAACTATGGAAAACAAAAACATTGTTGTTTTCATGTGCGTCTCCAAGATAAATTCGTTGCTTTAGTACGGGCATTATACTAGTATAAGACAAAAGCGCTAATCATATAAGACAAAACGCATGGGAGAGTGATTAGCGGGAGGAATCCGATGAGCAGCATTGCCTGCCCGTTGGCCTGCTCACCGGGAGAGCATCGCATCTCCTATCTAACTTTGGTCACCAGAAGTGAAAAGAATAAAGAGAGCTCTTGTTCCTCCCTATCTCTCCTGTGTGTGGATACAAATCGATTTCTTAACAACATCCAAATTCCAAATGCACTAATCATGCTTCCATCTGAGCGCAGTGCAAGATCTGCATTTCATCTGCACCACCTCCGAGGCCAAGTGCAAAGAGCATGCCGCGCTCGTGCAGACTTCCATCTGCGCCCTCGTTCTGCTGCTGCCGCGCCCAGTGCTGCATGGGGAGGCAGGGGTGGGGGTGGGGGAGTCGCTGGCCGGGGACAGGCGCCTGCACCGCCAGCCAGGGGACGCGCCGACAAGGCCTAGCCGCCGGCCGGGGGACGCCACCACGGGGCCTAGCTACCGACCGCCGGGCGCCCAGCCAGGGACCGCACTTGCCCGCGCGAGTGCTCCTACGCCTGGGCGGACGTCGCGGGGAAGGAGGGGTGCCGCCGGTAAAGTCCTCCGGGAGGCGCGCCGCCTTGCAGTGGCCGCCGACGGAACCCGAGGCGACGCACCGCGCGAGCGCTCCTATCCACGACGCTATGCGCGTCCGAGGAGAGGGAAGAGTAACTGGTGAGGGAGAAAAAGATGTGAGGGGTATGGATGTCCTTTTGCGTGGGTGTTTTTTTTTCTTTTTTCTTTTTTGTCATTTAATCAACTCAGCATAGGCGGTGTTACGACGAAGGGGTAAACTGCTGCTTCGTTTCAAAACTACAACGGCAAAATTATAAAGTTAAAAAAAAAACTCGATCCGCGGTGGCTAGACAGCCTCAGGTATTTCGGCTTAAGAAGAAAATCTTCTCACGCAGATCGAAAAAAACCCCAAACCCCTGCCCCACTCATACACAGCGGCACCGCAGCTTCGTGAGATAAACTAGCCACAGACCTGTGCTTTTGACGTGGGACAAACGAGAAGTTTTTTTTTCCTCCTTGGCCGCTGCGGCCGAAGCCATAAATAAAGAGTGAGTCCCTTGAGACTCGAACTCTGACCACCCCAAGGGAGGTAATGAGCCCGCACAAAGTTTAAAAAGCAAGGATAAAATCACCATTGAAGTTTGGAGCAGGAGCAGAAACACCAAATTCCCTAAATAAAAATATTAATCTAATCGACATATTTTAGTGAATAGAAAGAAGGAGCAGTGACACAAGTAGTTCATGCAGTCCAGACTAATACAAAGCTGGTTTCGCAGGATGACGAGTGATGCATGGATCTCTCTTGAGTTTGTTTCTTTCTCTAGACGTAGTAGTACTAGTAGTTTTTTTTTTTGACAAATAGCAGTACTCTTCCGGTTCGTTTGAACTTATCAGTTATGGTACAATATTTTTCTCCCACGATAAATCAGTGAACAATACTTTTCAGCTTGACTTTTTAGTATTTTCTCTCACAACAAATCAGTGAACAGTACTTTTCACCCTGGCTTTTCAGTGTTGCAAGTGCTATTCCTGAAGTGAGCCAGTTTAGTTGTATATATTCGTCCTATTCATTTGGCTTATAAGCCGTACTTTTTCAGCCAACGAATAATATTTTTCTCTCATACCAAATCAGACAGCAATACTTTCAGCCATGACTTATCAGCCAAGCGAACAGGGTAATTGTGTACGTTTGTTTGGCACTGCCTGTTGTTGTAGTGTCAGCCTGCACTCTGTGCTGCCTGTGTTTGCTCCATTGTTTGCCTCTGCAAGCTCAATAGATGAAAAGAATTCTCGCTGCATTGTTTGTTGAACAAAATTCAGTGTGCACTAGTCGTCGATTTAAGCTCAATAGTCTGTACTAGCCCAACGCCACCGCAGAGACAGTCCAAAGAGCTCAGGTCCTTCGATCTAAGTGTGTTTGGTTGAGGGACCGGAACATCCTAAGTGAGATATCCCATTTTAAAGTGGTGTCAAGAGTCAGAGACGTCCCATTGGGCTCTTTTTTTTTCCAGAGGTAGCGTCATCCCACCTGGGATAAGCGTTCGTTCGCTCAAGGGCAGGAGCAGGCGAGCGAGCTCGAGCTCCGCCACTGGCCATCCCGCGGAGGAGCTCCGTCCCACGCGGGCGAACTCTGCCTCACACCCATATGTCTGGGGCCGATCCCACCTTTGTTGTCCCCAAACCGAACAAAAAACAGAGATACTATCGTATCCTTCAACCAACGACTAGACAAAACTGTTCGTCTCTAGAGTTGGAGACAGAACACTCTATTTACCTCCTAACCAAACGCTGCGTAGAATCAGCCTAAGGGCTTAGGCCTCAAAAAGGGCGAGGGTTGGAGCGGGATTTTACTAATCAGGGTTGGAATAGATTTAATTTTCAAAAGTGGATTGGATTAGGACCCCCTAAATAGCTAAGATCTTGTTTGACTGCCATCTAATTCACCCCCATCCACATGTGCTGGGTGGTTGAACGGTGATCATCTAAGCCAACGCCGCCTGAGAAGGGTACGAGGAGCGAAGAGGGCACCAGAACCCCGTCAAAAGCAAGAATAGTACTACAAAAATATCCTGAACACAAATGCACACAAAAAAATTATGATATATCACAACTATTTATACACAGCTTCATCTGTCTTCCGCAGCATTGCCAGACACTGTTGGCGGAGCGCGGAGGACAACGCGAACTCGCGGAGGAGCCCGCCGGCACCAACCATGGGGGGTGTGCGGGCGACGGAGAGGACTCGCGAGCCCGTAACCTTAGATCGAGTGGCACAGAGATGAAACAGGAGCGATTCAGAATCAGAAGAGAAGAAAAACGCGGCGCTCCGTGACTCGGCAGCATATTCGTGCTGTCAGAGAAGGAAGACGCGATACTTCCACCTGACCTGAGTGACATTTTGGCCGTGATGAGATTCACGAATTCTGACTAACCACATGATAACTGATGACAAGCATGCCTATCACGTAAACTGAACAGCAGAACAAAACTTTTTTCTTTTCCCTTCTGAAATCGATCTGAATGTTCATATGTCGTGTTAACTGACAAGCATGACTATCACGTTAACTGTACATGGCGGCCGCCTTGCACCAGCCAACCAACGTGAATGAAACGTTCCTAACAGCAGAAGGGCAAAAGGGGCATCTTAGGTACAAAATACATGTATTAAGATTCAAAAAGAGGTGAAATACACTTAATGTCATGGAAAACAAGAAGCCAATATATCAAGGGTCATTTTAACGAAGTCGACAATTAGAGTCCTACGATTGCGAATCGCGTTGTTTGGAGTTTATAATTGCAATTTTCTCCAAAGCCGCGGGATATGCAGAATTATGTTCATGTGCAAGATCACTGACTTAAGCATTATAGCATCTTTTTTTTTTTGAAATATCGTTCCTTAAAAAAGGATTGCCCGAAGAACAACGCAATGGTTCCTGCTAGTTTCAGATTCATTTAGTTTATGCAGCTCTCTGAGATGACAATCGCAGTTCAAATTCAATTTCCCGTCAATCTCAAATTTCTGGAAAACAACAATCTGATCAATGCGATTTGTTAGCAAAGAATTTACAACTGTTTACATGATCTCAACCTACAACATTTGGCAACCAATCATCATAGCTCTGCTCCGAAATGTAGAGCAAAGCTGAACCCAACAGATCTGAGAAAGAACTGAGTTACATCTCTAGACGAATCCTCTCAAAATTACAACGAAATCGTCACATCACCATTCCTCAGCCCTCAACAGCACACCAAAAAGGCAAGAGCCAACAGATGATCGGCACAATGGTAACGGGGAGGGGAATACACCTGCGGGAACGGGAGGGGCGGGGCGCATCAGAGGAAGCCGAGGAGGACGGCGGCGCCGAGCACGAAGAGCCAGACGATGTGGACGAGCAGCAGCGCCTGGCCCGAGACGGGCGCGGAGCCGGCGCCGACCTCGCAGTAGCCGCGGCGAGCCACGCGGGCCCCCGCGCAGGTCGCCTCGGGGCAGCCGCACCAGTACGTGACCCCGTCGGCGCCGCAGACCGGGTCCGGGCGGAAGCACCGCACCGGGCACAGCGGGACGTCGCCGTCCCCGTCCGCGACGGCGGCCGCGCAGGGGTCGCCGGACTCCGCCGCCGCCGCGGCGGCGGGCGTGGGGAAGAGGAGGCTAGGGTTTGCGCGAGGAGGAGCGAGAGCGTGGCGAGGAGGATGAGGTGGACGAGGCGCGAGGGCGGCATGCCGGGCGTCGCCGGCGGCCGATGGTCGCCGGCGAGGGGCGGGGCGTGAGGCACGGCGGCCTTCGGGGTCCGTGAGGAGGCGGCCGCGGCGGTGGGGACGGTTTCCCTAGAAATTACGGGCGCGGTGGAACCCGTCGGCGCTTTGAGAAGTTTCCGTTGGCGACGCGTCGGCGACCGACTCGGTGGGTGGGTGGGTTGGGTTGGACTTGGCTGGACCGCGTTGGCGTTGGGTTGGCCGCCTGCTCTTGTCCCTTTTCGCCTTGCCCCAGAATAGCAATTGCCGATTTTTGGCTGATCGGCTGGGTTAATTAAGGCACGCGCAACCTGCAACGAGGGATCCGCAAAAAAATTCCATATTGGTAATAGATTTTGTTTAAAAACAACGTTAATAAGGAAGAGAATTTGTGCGATTTTTCTCGTTATTTCTTTCTTTGTTTCTTCATCTGTAGAGCTTCTCAAAATGACTCCATAAGAGCATCTCCAGGAGTATTGTAAACTCTCTATCTGAATTTTTTTAGCAAAAAAGAAAAAAGTCTCCTCCAACCGTTTGGTAAAAAGCTCCTTAAAAATAAAATTTTGTTAAGTATTCTCTCTAGTAAGTTTCTGTAGTCGAGAGACACTCCGTATCCGCTCCATATCCCAAGTTTTTTTTTCCAGAAGATTAGAGTAAATTGGACACATAAGTAAATTAAGAAAAAAAGTAAAGGGTTCCAGGTGAGAAAACGATAAGTGACAAAGAAATTATTAAAAAAAGTTTGGTTAGTTAGAGATGGTTTAGAGTTCCCAATACAAAATCGTTTAGAATGCTAATATAGAAAATTATTGGAGGGAAAAATAAATTGTGGTTGCTACTTTTTTTTAACTTGCTAAACTTATTGATTTAGCAAGTTAATTATAGAAAACATATGAAGTTACTCTAATTCATTTTCTAACAAAAAGAAAAAACAAGCCTCCAACAGTTTTATATCTAAACTCCTTAAGCTAGTAAATCTCCTCGACTCCTAAATATGCACTTGACATCTGTCTGAACGTCCTCTTCGCCCCTTTTCAATATTTAGGAAGTTAATTATTAGAAAGTATTAGAAAAGGATAAAAACAGAATTATGTATTTATATTGTTCACTTAGTATAATCATTGGTTACCGAGTAATTTTCAAGGAGCTTTTGAAGATGCTCAAACGATAACTTCGACTCGTTACATTGTGCCGGAGATGTTAACTGAAAAGGTTGTTAAAGATTGCCTCCTCAGTAAGTGAAGTGAAAGCGAAGGGGTTACTTTACCATTCACCTGCTGGCCTGCATGATATATACCTTACTTTACCCTGAATCATTCGTGCTTTGTTCGCTTTCGCTTTCTTCGATGGGTTGGCTAAATTTTCTTTTGATGATTCCAATCTAAGCCCTGGTGCTAGCTATGCGATACACAAATAAAACAAAGGGCCACGTTTACACTAGTCTGCTAGCCATACGGAAAATAGCAGAGTTTAAAACCTCAAAAACTAGCTGAACTCCTGTCCCCAGCTCCTGGTTCGAGCAGAAACGCAGTTCAGGGCGCGTAACTAGTACAGAGGCAAGCAATTCGTGTTCGTGGTGCTCAAGGAATGAAAACAGGCATAGGACAAGTTCATGGAAAACGCAAGCGCCGCCACCAGAATGTAAACAACACAGCCCTGATATCCCCTGTCCAGATGCAAACTTCCATGAACCGATGAACTGAACCAAGTTTCATTAAGTACATCTATGAAATTTTACATCGCACTGAAAGTAAAATCTGACAATTTTCCCCTCAAAAAAAAATCTGACAATTTTTTGCCAGGTCCACCCTTCAGCCCAAAAGGGATCAAAGGTTTCAAAAGCACCGAAAGATGAAACAAGTTGGGGCCTAGCAATGGTGTTTCTTAGTCAGCATCCATCTCCTCAAGAGCTGCCTGAGCAGCGGCCTTGGCCTGCTCCAACAGTTCATTTGGAACCTGTATGACAAGTGAGCAAAAAACAGTTACAATAAATTCACGTCGAAAAATATTCAGAGATCATTCTTCATATGAATGTCCCACAGTACCTTCTGATGCTGGCGCTTCGATTCATCACAGATCCAGCTCAACTCCAACTCAAAAGCTTTGTCCTTCGCTTCGTCATGCACTCCATAAATTCTGCATTGGGCAGGTTTTGTCATAATGCAAAATTTGAACAGCGGCCTTTTCAGGTTCATTTCATCAATTATAAGCAGGAATACGAAAGAAACTCGGTATCTTTAGATATCAAAGTCAAAACAACCACAACTTAGGATCACTTGAGATAAGATGTTACTATCATGTACCTCTGCTGTAACAAGAGTTGTTTTAAGATTGTTTATGCCAATAGTTTGCAGTATTAACAAACTAATACAGTGCAATCATTATATTTCCAAGCACTAAGCAGTTTTTTACTAATAACACTCCAACCAGCAAACTTTCAATATAAACAATTCTAGTATAAAAGGAATGTACTCACATAATGACATAAGTTCTCATAATGACTAAACAATGATAACCAGGTAAACCCTTTGCCAGATAATGCACAAATATGAGCAATAGCTTTCTAGAATGACATGGAACAATGAATGAATCCAATAAAATCAATGCTTGCTAAACAATGCTGGAGGCTTTGGCAATTCCCCAACTCCCTGTGCGCCCGAGTACTCAAAGCTAAATATTTTGCCAACACCTAAGTGCTAGAGGCAAGACCAAAGGCCGGGATGTCGTATACCTGGCGGAGTGTACTGAGAGGCTTAGAGGTTATGAAGCAAGGTATGCTCCGGAGAAATGGGGACGGCAGCAGCTTGAGAATCTGGGAAGATCCATGGTGTCGGGTATCGGTATTAGGGATACTCGAAGAAGGTATCTGAGGACCGCACACGACGACTCGCCATGATAATCAAGGACGTACTTTAGTCTCGACCGACCCCGAAGGGACGGTCTCTGTCTCGCCCGACCCTGAGGGCACGAGCCCCGTGTCGCCCGACCCCGAGGGTACGGGAGCCATCTCGACCGACCCTGAGGGCACGGGTTCCGTCTCCGTCTCGCCCGACCCCTCGGGCACGGGCCCCGTGTCGCCCGACCCTAAGGGTACGGGAGCCGTCTCGCCCGACTCTGAGGGCGCGGGCTCCGTCTCGCCCGACGGGGACCCATATCGCCTCCAACCACTACGGGTCTGAGGGTACGACCCTGGGGTCAAAACTTCTGACACCGGAAGGGAAGCGGGCACGTCTCGACGTGACCCATGGCCACGTTAGGCCATGCCCGGGGGTTCACATCGCCAACAGTGACGGGTGCGTGGTCGATGTGCTGTGTACTCCCCGTACGGCCGCTGACAGACACGTCGGTTCACCACGCCGTCCGCCGGGACGGGATGGGACACCACGACCAGCTGATGACGTCGGGGCATGGCATCAATGGTGAATAGGAGCCTGACGTGGAGCCGTCCCCGTCACCATCTACAGCGTCGGCGGGACCCGTATGAAGGAGAAGAAGGACCCGGCGGCCTTGGAGGCCTTCTTCTCCCTCGCTTTTCTCCTTCTTTCTCTATGTAACCTGCACCTTCCCCTCCACCTATAAAAGGGGAAGCAGGACGCCCCAAGAAGAGAGACAGCTAACAAGCACACGGCTGAACAAGCTCAGCAAGACTCAACTCCATTCGATCTTTTCACCAGAGACTTGGGAACTTCTCCCTCTCTCGCTCGTTTGTAACCCCTACTACAAACCAGTGCCGGTAACACGAGCAGCAACAGACTAGACGTAGGGACATTCCGCCCGAACCAGTATAAATTCTTGTGTCCTCCGAGCACACCATCCGGACCAGACACGCAGATACAAATTTGCTAGCCGGTGGGTGTCCTGGAGCGTCTGCCATAGCGCACTCCCAGGACGGACGGTGGCTAGGCGCCATGTCGCCGATGCTAGAGCCGTCACTCTCGCCATCGTCATCCATGAGGTCGAGAAAATAGGTGGGAGCATAGCTCGCCATTCCCATGAATTCGGATGCGAGAGGGGGCGACGCTGGCATCCTTCTGAGCCCCCGGGCGTATGCGTCCGCGGAAGACGCGAGGCCACAGTGGAACCGGTCGTATGGCGGTCGCGTCGGGGACAACAGGGTTCCTCCGGGTAATTGGCGGAAGATAGAGAATAGTAAATGAATAACAGCATGTACACTACTCACAGCGAGGTTTGAACAGAGAGTTTGCTCGGAACGAAGCGCAGATGCCGCGTCGTCGAAGTCATGCGTCCCGGAGTCGATGGAGGGCGCCCCTCCGATGGGTGCCGGGACGTGAGCCTCCTCGCGGAGGTGTAGTACGCTAAGCCAGTCGGTGACGAAGTGTATGCTTCCGAAGAGGAAGGCCTGGGATGGCACAAAGATGGGTGGAACCCGCGTCCCAACAGGTGGGAGCGCGGGAAACTCCAATGAGCCGAAGCGAATTGTGTCGCCAGAGCCTGCCATGGCGAAGGTGGCAGAAAAGTGGGTCATCCGATGACCAAAAAGTGTTGAACATACAACGTCTTCCCCACGGACGGCGCCAACTGTTGGTGCAGAAAGTGACCAACACGTAAATATTTGTAGTTTTACCGTACGTTGTGATCGAAGGTGGCCTAGCACTCAATGACACAGGGTTTATACTGGTTCAGGCAACATGCCCTATGTCCAGTTTGAGTCGGTCGGTGACTTTATTCCTAAGCCCAGGTGCTCGAAGTCTGCAGTGGGGTTACAAACGAGAGGAAGAAAGATGGGGTGTATGAGAGGTCCGATCGGAAGGGCCAAGAGCGACAGGAACTCCGCTACGAGCTAAGTATTCAAGCGTGTGCTTGAGGTTCGAACCTGGCGGTTCTACGGTTGTCGACCAGTGAACTTGGTCGATCTAATGAATCTAAAAGGACTGAGTTATGTTGGAGGGAGCGCATCCCCTTTTATAGATAAAGGTGATGGCTTTACAAGTGAGAGGGTGAGGGTACATATGCTACTGAACTTTGTTGCCCATGCCGACGGGTACAAGATAATGGTAGGCGCCACAACACTGTTG